GTTAACAGGGAATATGGAGGAATGTATAAGAGATAATAATAAAACCCAAACCCACGCCATTGTTTCCCATCAACCTTCGCATGATTCATCTCAACAGTAATTATACCCTCTCCAAAATCTTGTATCAAACCCTCCTTATCACCAGGTTGTAAAAGTTCATCAGGATAATGATAAATTTCGATCGGTAAAGTACTTTTCACGACATTTCTCAACATGTGTAAACTTAACCTTAACCTCTTTAAAGCTTTTCCATCACCAGCAGCATATATTATACCTCTTAATGGTTTACCAGGATTTAAAGTTTGAAAAGGTTGTTGAAGTAAATCTTTTGACCAAACTATTGGGATATTTTCAATTTGTAATTTTTTGAAATAATCTAATAATGCTTGACGTTTTTGTCGGATGGTCATTGAAGATATTGAAGTCCAAAGTTCTGTTTTACCTTGATGAAAGAAATAACCATCTCTATCCATCGTTCCCATTGGACCTGATTGATTAGTTTTTGGGGGTCTTAACATTTTATTATGTCTGTGAATAATTCTTCTCCTGACCGTTCCACTCTGCGAGATCTTTCTCAAGGAATCTCTGTCCAAAGCATTATCTCTTGACTGTCTCCATGAAGGTTATTTTTTCGTAGCTCTCAATCGGACAAGCGGAGAGATTTAAAAAAAGCTTCAAAACACTTCAATGTTGACATGCTGGGATGTTGAGGTGTTGAAAATCGGAGAGAGATTCGACGCCTGAAACACTATCCCATCTCGCAAGTCTGTACACGTCTGAGTAGATTGGGGGTGAGGGTTTAGACAGAATTCGCGGCAAGAGTGCAGACACGATATAGAGTAGGATCTCAAACAGGATATGAACCACGATTTCACCCATGATGATAGCTTAGGAGAAACAAAATCAAACTCACATCCTTGCCTCGAAGGATACTCCAAAACCGGATGATCCCAAGCTGGTCGTCTAACGAACGATTCCAATTTCTCCATCAATTCCTTTGCTCCATTCCCATCGACTTTGGCACCAGAAGCTTTCGTTAACCAAACGTATCCGTACCCTCCATAACGTGATGGGAAAGGATGTAATAAGAATGCTAGGGCTAAGAGAGCGACCAGGAAAGAGATTATTAGACGTTGTCGTGTGAAAGATAATGGGAAGGGTATGGACATGTTGTTGGTGTTGGTGTTGTTATTCCTCCTTTCTCCACTGAGATCTTGTAGTTTTTGTTGGATAGGTTGACTAAGTGGATGTTTGGAGATACTAGTTGACTACGTTGACTGAGTGGATGTTCGGGTTTGGAGTATGGTACTTTTGTGAAGGGTGGTAGATTGGATTGTGGTATTTTTGAGGATGGGTTGTGAGGAAATATGATATTTCTGAGGAAAGTGGTATTTTTAAGGAGATTTGGTTTTTTGGGCGGGTGGTGTTTGTAAAGAGATATTATAGGGATCAAAGATGGTGTGTATGATGAATGTCGATGATTTGTTCGACCGAGTAAACTTGTAAGGACTTCAAGGCTGTGATAATCTTCAAATGAGTGATGGTCGAGTAGGTACGCTCCACAGGCCAAGCAAGATCTAAGGAAATAGAAGAATTTCACAAGGTGTAGTATATTCGTACTGTGGGAAGTAAGACGCAATGTAATCGTCACTGTGTACTTTAGCCTTGGAGTTGTGCCGTAGGTTGAGAGTGAAGAGAGATGTTGGAGAGAAAGGGATAGATGATGGTTGTCAACTTTCGCCCACTCTGGCCAGTTGGTAAATCGGAGATGAGAGATGCGGATGACACAAATGTGACTGTAGCTGTTTATACAGATGAGTAGATTCAGACGAACAGTGTGGAGATGGGTTAGTGGGTGAAGATGGAGAGATGAGTTGCAACACCGCACCGGTAGAGACGGAAATGGCAAATATCATTAATCATGTTCACATGTTTCTCGTCACTAAACCACCCTCCCCCCCCTTTCAACTAAAGTTTTTAAGTAACCTTCTAGCTCCTACACCACAGACCACAGACTACAGACAACCACGAGCAAGGCCCACACGCAAAGAGCAAACAGATAGATGCATGTTTCTCTACACAAATGAACTTGATCACAGAGAGAAAGCGTGGTAAGACGATCAAACTCGTTGTTCTTTAACAAGGTTTATCAAACCTTTACCCGTCAAAGCGGAAATCAAATTATATACCACTTGAACTTCCATCTGATCGTTAGTGTCTACGACCATACACCTCATACCACATTCGACACCCGACATCCATCTGTCATACGTCACGAGAGTAATTATACCGATGAAAGAGAAATATAGAGGATGGATCACTCACTTTCTTTTGCGTATCACGAGTTTCAGTACCTAAATGAGGCAAAATGGTTATTTGGTCCATTTTCTGTAAAATTGGGTTAATCTTCGGTTCCTCTGGATAAACGTCAAGACCTGCGCAAGCGAGCTGAAAGTAAGTATCTCTTCACTATCCATCGACCTTTACATGTCAAAGACAACATATCTGGGAATTGTGGATCGTGTGGTCGAATGGACACCATCGGTTGTGGTGATTGATCAACATGAATCTCAGCTAGGGAAGGGACGGTTAGTCTCATGAAACGAGTTCATGAGAAAAGTATGATGAGAGTGAAACGATCATTAGGTGAACTCACCTTTCCGCTCTCCAAAGCAGCGATCAAATCCTCTTCCACAACCACTGCACCTCTAGCCGTATTGACCAAACAAGCACCATCTTTCATCTTATCAAATTGAGCTTTACCAAAACTTCCTTTTGTATTGGCGTTTAGAGGTAAGTTGAGTGAAACGACATCGGATTGAGCGAGTAGATTGTTCATGTTATCGATGTATGTGCAAGGGAAATCGGGAGCTGGTGAATAGGGAGAGCGATTGTAATAGATGATCTTCATGTTGAATCCGAGCATTCGACGTGCTAAGGCCTGTACTTTAGTTCTACACTCAAATAGGTTAAAGCTCATCTCTCCTATGGGTTTTACCACTCTTCCGTCTCCTCCCCCTCCTTCGAACCTCTGACTGTGTGCACCCATATGATCAGACGGGAATTCACCAACGGGGACTTCTCATAGCAGAGAGACCCTATCTGTGGTATAGTGATATAAGTAGAAGATAAATAAAAGGTACTTGAAGGGGAAGAAAAGAGGTGATGGGGAAAACTCGACACGACGTTAAAGGTCAAATGATGAAAGAACAAACTACTTACCTTGCCAATCCCCCCCATCCCGATAATTCCCAAAACCCTACCTTCGGGATCACTAGCCGGAGTCCATTTTGGTCCTTTCCATAACCCCGACCTAGCCATCTTCTCACCATAAGAGAATTGTCGCAAAGCGGAGATGATAAGGAATGCGGCGTTGGTAGCTGTCGCATCGTCTACCGCTCCGGGGGTGTGAGAAACTTGAATTCCACGAGCGCTACAGGCTGCTACGTCGACTAGAAGTCAGTCGGTGGGTCAAGAATATAAGGTAGTAGAGAAGACGAAGTGTTAACGAGGTAGGAATGACGGAGAAAATATAAGGTAGTAGAGAAGGCAGAGAGATACGAAGTAGATAGCAGAGAAGATATATGGTGCAGTAGGTAGGATAAATATAAAGTAGAAAACGTTGAGAAGATACAGTATGAAGCAGACGAAAAGAGAGAGGGACAAAAAAGTGTAAGGAGTATAACCCACCCTGATCATATCCCGCACCATTATGACAAACGTATTTCACAGAACTTGGTAAATGTTCAATCAAATCTTTATCGAAAACCCCAATAGCTAAAGCAGAATCGGAATGTCGGTAAATACCTACCACACCGTCGTATTTGGTTTTACAATCGGCATAAAATTCTTCTCTTGATTTGGAGGTGAATGGCTAAAGGGTGGTCAATAACATAAACCACATCTTTTATAATTAAGATCTTCGTACTGTTCCGAGTTCAAAGACGTATGATTGGATGGAGAAGTTGATGATGATATTAGACTTCTTCTCAGAAGGGATGAGGTGGTAGGATGTGACGATTATGTGTTGGAGAGAAAGTGTTACATTTGGAAAAAGTCGATGAGTGGTATCAAAGAAAGAGGAAGAAGTCACACTAACATGGAGCAAGAAGGAGATGGAATAGGGAGGAGGAAGAAGAGGAAAAGCGGGTCAACTCACAACTAACTCCGCTATGGGTCCAAGTAAAGAAACGATTTCATCTTTTGCCCAAATCAGACCGTATTCCGGGTGAGCTAAAAGTCAGCATTTCTCACTTGTTTCTCTCTTTCTCTTCCTCTCCTTTCCCTCTTCCTCTTCCTCATTCTTCTTCGGTCTTTCTCCTCTCCCTTTCCTTCTCATTCTCCTCCGGTCTCGCTTCTCATGTCAGAGTCCTCGCTCCATCTTCCCATCTCGCATGGCCGGGACTCTCTTGGAATGTCACCTGTGGTGTTGTCTGCCAAACGAGACATTGACATCGCATCGGCAGTGTTGTACCATCTCAACAGATCATAGATCTCGCAACGCCAGTACTTCCTCAAAAGGTCGTGGCAAATGTGACCATCCCTCACAGACGATTACCATGCCCCCCCCCCCCGGCCCTTGATCGCGCACCACACTCCCTCCCGCCAAAACCATCGAGTGTCATGTGAGGAAAAGATAGGACTCACCACAAACTAACACCTTGGGCTTTGACATTTTACTCGTTGGAATACTATAATCAATGAGGTCAGAAAGTAGAGATAGAGAAAGAGAACCAACAACTATCAACAAAAGTCAGCAAATAAGGACGAAAAGCCGGTGGCCGATGGACCGGAAACACTGTTGAACCGGGTCCGTTTATCCGATCCATCACGTGACCATAATACTCTATTTACGTAAATGCAATATTCTATGAACCCGGTTTTACCTACTGCACATGAGGCTTATACAAGGGTATCGGAGCCGACTGGAGGAGGAGTGGGTGTGGGGAAAGAGAAAGGGGGAGGAGGTAAGAGGTGAACAGAGGAATAGGAGGATTATTCGACGAGAAAAGGACTATCTATGGAGCTTATTCCTGATTGTCAACAATGTGTTCGTATTGTCGGGAATATATGGTCTGACGCGGAAGTGCAGTCGATCATGAGAGAGAACTCGAGGGAGATAAGAGTAGAGCTAAAGGTCGCAAGCATGGCTAGGATCACGGGTAGAGGGTCAGACTAGAAGGGTAGTAGGACTCACCTATGGCAACACCACCTTCATCACTATCCCTCCCTTTTGTCCTCAACAAAGTCCCCGCTTCTCTATTAACAATCCCTTTCCTCTCACCAAACAACATGACTCCATAAACTCCTAACTCACTTACCACCTCTGTCAATTTCGGACGTTTCTCTCCTCCTTTCAATAACAAATTCCCCACTCCTGGAGGTGGTTCAATCATTTCCATCAGTATATAAGCCGCAGAAGTATCTTTCTTATTCCCTTCCAAACTCGCTAAATACTCTGGTATATCTTCCCGATATATATTATTACCACCTCCTTCTCTCTGAGGTTTGAGAACATAAAGTTCCGGATGATTGAGAGCCATTTCGAGACCGATACTGTTCATGGGATATAAACCGATCCAAGTTTCCCTCAACATGTCCACATGGTTCTGGTTCAATTTACCAGCACCGGCTCCAAATCCAACGTCGGGTTGGTTTTCACCCAGTAAGAACTCTTCGAGTTTTCCAGGTTCAGCCAAGACTTGTTGAATCTTCTTAGCTCCGGCAAGTTGAAGGGCCATGGAGGGACATTTGATAGCTCTAGAACGTTCGAGTAAGAGACGAGTGTCCCACTCGGATCCGGTGGAATAATCGTTGGGTCCATAACCGGCGCGATAGTAGACCACGGCGATTTCAGTAGCGGAGGAGTAAGGATCTTCGGGACATGGGAGGTAAAGACGTTGAGTGAGTTGTTCGACTTGAGCGAGATCTTCCAGTTCTCTCATGGTGTGACGTAGAACGCGGAGTCCGTCGTTTCTAGGTATTAGCGGGAGTTTTGGACTTTGAGTATGCATCGCAGAAGTCGGACAGTATAACAGAGCGAGGAAGCGGGGGAGAGGGAACACTGTCACTCACTTCGCCATCAACTCATATTCCAACCATCTCTGATCAAAGATATTCCTTTCGGTAGGTTGTACCACAAACAAAATCGCAGCTCTTGTCCTTCCATACATCTTCCAAGCATCTGACAGACCTTCGGCGGTAAGTTCAAGCGAATGGTTTTCAGGGTAATTAGACATTCTGTTCATTTCTGGAGAAGCGTTGTAATAACCGTTGGTGGCTCTTGCGAGGTATCTGAGATTAGTATGCTGACTGCATCAACCTGAAGTGTAACGATGATAGCACATCATAATTGAAAGTCCGCTGATGACGTTGACGAGAGCGGCTTTTGCTGAGAATGGGATTAGATGCTTGAAAGTAGCGTGAATCGAATCGGACCAAGGCTTTCTTATAATGCCAAAGGGGAGATGCAAAGGGGAAGGTCAGTCATACCAATTGCAGGTACGAAGGTACGGGCAGAAGGTTCGCTGGGTACTATGGTAGGGGCGCTGCCTTGGAGGGAGTTTTTTTAGACATGAGGGACTTCAGAAAGTGAAGCAGATGAGACGGATACTCACCGATGAAGCTCCCCGGCACGCTGACTCAAAGCTCCGAAGGAAGAAGCGATAGTGTTGAACTCTACCTGTTTGATAGCTAACGGTTTCTCGTCCCCGGTATCATGGAGAAGATAATCTGATCGGAATATGCCCAATTGTAAGTCCTACCAGTCAGCGACCGTCCCGATGTTCAGTACACTGCTACAGCTCAAGGACCAAACCTGTGAGAAATGTGACATAGCAATTCTTCATCGTGGATGTCAGAGCAAGCGGCGATACCATATGATGAAGCATTTACAAAACGAAGAGCGAGAAGGGGATTGATTAGAAGGCTTCTGAGAAGTGATTAAAGGGAAGAAAATAACTCACTTGAACTAAATCTTCCCTGATACTTTTCCAACCTCTCCAAAGTGCTCCTTGAAAATCATCCACCCTACTAACACCTTGAAAAACCCCATCAATGAATTCCCAATCTAGTGCCACACGAGCGTACAGAACATTATATATAGGTTGCAACAACCTCACCCTGTCGAAAAGTCTTCTAGGGAACGGAGTGGGGAATATAGACATGGGAGCTGCGAAAGTTTGTGTTGGTGGATTTCCCGGTGTTGGAGCTGGAGGAGCTAATAGGATGAAACCGTTTGTCAATGCGTGTGTTGTGGCTAGTAGGAGTAGATGATCTAATTGTTCAGGAGAGACTTCAGGTGGCCAAGATGGGAGATGTGCTGGTGCAGAGAGTGTAGAAGTAGACATGGTGATTTCGTTTCCTAAAGATGATAAAGTGTACGACGATCGTTAACTCTTAACCTATGATTGTAGAAGGACTTCTTTGATGTAGATCTGATTGTTCGTTTGAGGACACCAACTTTGATGAATCAAATAAGAGAGAAGAGAGAAACAGAGACTATTTGTTATTTCCGGTGAGTTTTAAATTCCTGTTAAAAGAAGACCTGTTTTGTCCTTTCGTCTGACTAAACAGTGAGACCGTTGGGAAGAAATGGATTCACCAAACAAAAAGTATTACCGTATACTGAAAAACCTTGAGAAGACCTTTTGAGAAGTTTGAATGAATCGGGAAGGTTTAGAAGAGGATTCTACCAATGTGATCAAAGCTTTCAACTTTTCGTTCGAACGGTAAGACGGCCAGTGTGGTGTGGGAAGAAACGTAGGACGGGAAAAGTCGATTTCAAATGCGGAGAGGTATCAAAAACACCTTTCAAGTCTTATCAGTCAATGACGAATTTTGGTTGATCGGTGATAGAAGCAAAGTCGGTCGGTGAAAGAAGAGTCAATGATGATGACGTTTCGAAGCGGAGAGTAGTATGTACTATATACTCTTCCTTGAGAAACTGCCCGATTTGCCGACGTATAGTTTTTGGTCTTCTTCTCGGGTATGTGGGCAGGGAGAGGGAGGGGGGAGGGGTGGGGTGTACGAAGTCGATTTGTAGTGAACGTAGTACGTAGTGTATACGTCGATATACCTGTGGAGTGAATGAAGGATAGGATCTAATAGTCAGAACGACACATATTCAGATAGGAAAGAGATTAGCATGAGAGATAAGCAGGGGTTGGGGGGGGGGGGTGTGGGGGGGAAGATGCCAAGTAAAGTGGGCGTGTGAGAAATATGAGAAAGAGAAAATTCAGAGGAGTGGGGAAGGGAATGATGTGTATGATGAGGGGGGAGAGGGGAGGGGAGGTAAAGGGGGATAAGAGAGGAGGGAAGTGAAGTGAGAAGCGGGATGGAAAAAGAAAGAAGGCGAGAAAATCGGAGATCAACTGCACTTTTTCTCTCTTTCACTTATCTCAATCTCTCAATCCTTTACTCGTCTGCTTAAGATAATCTTGTTACGGATCATAAGGCTGAGAGTGAGAGGAGAGAGTGAGAAAGGAAAGTAGTAGTAGTAGTGATGATGATGATGAGGTGAAAGAAGCAAAGATGATGTTTAGTTGAGCTGCTTTTTGATGATGCAATCTTGTTCTATCTTCACATTCCACCTCCACCTTCACCCACCGGTCATTTCCGACGGAATCAACTGCCTCGTTTAGAGTACCAGCAAAGGACGTCTGTGAGAGCGAGGTACATTGACAACCACATAAAAAAAGATCAGCATGCATAGATTACCCAAAATGACGATGCAACGTTGATACCTCTCACAATCAATCAAGACCCGTCTTACCCCCGCCGCCCGCCGACTCACTCCTCGCCAGAAGGACTACCACTCGCACTATCCCCAGCTCCTACACCAAACATCTGTCCGTCGCAGTTCCAAGCGCCACTGGATGTCAGCGATGTGCGATTACTTGTTCCCTCATACCTTCCACCCGTCGGGACATGGCAGAAGATGAGTTAAGCAGGATACATACAAAGAAGTCTTCCTCCCGGCTGTTTGAGAGTTGATGAATGGTGGGATGCGGTTGACGGAGAGGAGATAAGATTGGTTCATTTTGATGAGATAAATAGATCAAAGACACTCACCATCGACATCTATCCTTCTTTTGTTTATTCCTCACTCTAGCATCAGAAGCCACATGAGCTTTACTCTTTCTCTTCCCCTTTTTTGGCTTTTTGTTGGGTTTCTTGATAGGTTCGGCCAATTCATCCTGTCATCAGCTAGTATTCATGTTCGAGTAATCCCTCTTCGACGTCCCGTGGGAAACATCGCGGATTGTAGGACGTGCGTTCAAAGTTGACAGAGTCGCGTGACGTGTGTACGTGCGTGACTTGTGACTCATGGGAAGAATAAATGAATGACTACATGATCCTTGTCCCCATGAAGGTTCAGTGGCCATCGGGGAAGTGGAGTGTTTCAAGAGTATAGTACAAAAATCGACAACAGCCCGGGGGGGGGGGGGGGCGGAAGAGGTACAATTGGCGAAAGAGGTGAAGAGAAGGTGTAACACTCACAGGTAAACCTTTATAAGAAATACAACATTCTTCTCCTGCCCTTATATCCTTCCTAGCGAAGATCACAAGCCTACAAGTCAGTCAGACGAACTATTTGTCCGTATACCTCATCGAGTCATCGCTCCTCTCTCAGTAATCTCTGAGTCCGGCGGATTGGAAAATGTATCGAGCGAGGCGAATGACTAGGTGGGTTGGGCATCAAGGAAGAGAACGACTCACATTGGTCTTTCTGGGTGAAAATCCTTATCGTGAGCTATACTCTTTATCTTATTTCGACCACAGCTCCTCATCGAGATTAAATCACACGATGTGGCTAATTCCAGTACGATTTTGAAAGAGGGATTAAAAGAGGACAAGAGTGGAACGACCAGATGTAAGGTATCATGAGAGTGAAACAGTGTGTGTAAATGACTGCCATACAAATACGAGGTCTGCGGGATGAATGGAGGAAGAGAGGAAAGCTGAAGAGAGGGAGGAGAACGCCAAGAGGTATTAGAAAGTCAAACTCACCCATACATAAGCCTGAGCAATCATCAAATTCGGATCACAAGAATGATTAAAGAATCTAGTGAAATTACCATAATGAAATGCGTCTACACTATAAGCAGAATAACAAAAATCAGCCGCATCGTCTAATTCCGCTGCTCTTTGTGCTCTTTTGGCTGTCGCATGTGCCAAAGCTGCTAATCGAGGGTCTACTTCTTCGAGTCCTTTTGGGACTTTACGTAGATGAAAACCGTCACAGTCGAATAGATAACTGAAGAATTAGTGTTCGTCCAGTTCTCATTGACCTAAATGAAGATATCCGAAGAAGTGCAATTTTCAATACCCCCAAAGGTAGAGTATAGTAAGTCGTTTGACCTGACTACTATCTGAAGAAGTGCAACCTTCAGCGTCGCCAGAACCGTAGTTTACCCAGGGGTTCGATGTACCCCACGATAGAAAAGCGATGTGGGAGAAGAAGATTTGAAGGGTTGGTGAAAAATAAAGGGAGGAGATCATGGTGAAGATACTGAGTAGGGAACGAGGACATCAGTCATGAGGTGGAAAGGGGAGAGGGGGAGAGGGGGAGAGGGGGAGAGGGGGAGAGGGGGAGAGGGGGAGAGGGGGAGAGGGGAGACAACTCACGTTCTTCCAATATCCGAATACAGCCAACCTCTTTTCTCACATTCTGCTTCATTTATCAATTCCCCCGAATATATACCCACAAACGTTCCTTTTGGAATAGCTACCCTCGCTTTCACTCCCCAACCTTTATGACGAGTCTTGAATAAATCAATCTTGGTTTCTTTGGCTCTACCACGTTGGATGACACGGTTCATACATTCTGGTGGACAACCGCAATTGTCGTTACATTCCCAAATTGGGACATGGAGCATGGACGTTTTGAGGGTATTGTCTCTGTATGTTAGCGTCGACGAGTGGGCAAGTAAGAGTGGACATGGTGATTTCATGGCCTGCGTTCGAGTTTGATGATCGAGGGCTGAGAAGATACGAGTTGGGTGTCTCCGTGATACAGAGTGGCAGCGCTATCGGTCATGACGAAGTGGGAAAGTGAAGAAGGGGAGAGTCAGATTGTCAAAGTGGCCCAACAGTAGATACCCATGACAAAAATTGAATGTGAGAGTGAAAGAGAGGGTTGAAAGAAAGCAAGAGACAAGAGAAAGAGAGGGGTCCACTGATACGAGAAGACAAGAAGGAGGATAGGAAGAAGTGAGGGAAGACAAAACAAGTATCGACTCACTCATTATAAGCAAACCCACTCATTTGCGCATCATAAGAATATAATTCTTGTCTCTTCACACAACTACAACTTTTCGACATAGGATTACAAGGTCCTTCACATCCACAACCCATACCTTTCTCTGGATCAGGTACATCAACATGATAAAACATTTCATTAGAATAAACGAATTCGAAATCTTGTGGAGCACCTTCATCATCCACATCATTCAATACTTTGATTTCATCCGCTTCAGGTTCATCTTTACTTGTACTTTCCGTTATATAAGCTGAAAATATAGCTCTATGAAGTGAAGGTTGATTTTGCAAAACAGGTAAAAGTCTTTGCCAAGATTCGTGAATACTTGTATCTGCTACTCTTTTAGCTTTACCTTTTCTATCTTGTGGTACGTCTTGTTCGACAGGTTCGACTGAGAGATAATATGTTTTTGTTGAAGGGTCTAAAGGATCTGTTGGTGTATGTCTAGGAGCGGCGGAAGGATCTCTAGAGAAATGGATAACAGGTGAAAGTATAGAAAGTTCAGCGTCAACTTCTGATACACCGTCATTCTCGACAAAGTGACGCCATTCTTCTCGAGACATGAGAGGAGAACCGGGTGGAGGTGAAGTAGGAGGTATTGATAATTGTTTGAATTGGGGTAGAGGAGAAGAGTCGTGGAATAGATTTAGGAGAGCGTTGTGGTGATTAGCCTGCATGTCGTCGGTCTCGATGACGTTTGTTACTTCTGATATGGCGAGGGGCTGAGGTTGAGAGGCAGTAAGGGGAGGTGAGATTGACTCGGACGAAGTGGGGGCATCGTCAGGTATGGATTGTGACAAGATGGTGTTCGACGTGTCTCGATCTGAGGTTGAAGTAGCTGAACTCGGTGGAGCAAGGGTGAGCTTTGAAATGGAAGTAGTCACGGAACTCTGTGGGGCGATAGGGGCTGTTGATATGTGCGCACCATCCGCCGTGATTCCTTGGGTTTGAGTGACTGCTTTCGCTTCGACCGACCAAGGGGATCTATCTTGTGGACCCGATGCACCGTTTTGTATCAAGTCACCAGACTGATCGTGAGGGTTGACGGGCGTGAGGTCTGACAACACGGGTGGCTGAGTCTTCTTACTCAGTATGCGCTGTCGATACCACTCCAACGGGGGTAAACCTCCCAAAACCGACTGGAACTCTGGTACATCCTTGTCTTCTCCAGCTTCTTTCTGAGGTCTTGCAGGGGGTTCACCCATGACGACATCCTCTTCAATCACCAAGATTCCTCCTGCCGCACCCGCCGCGCCCTCATCGCCCACCTCATCATCTCCCATCTTGACATCCCCATCCGTAGTCGCTGATCCAGGCTGTAGATCTACCTCCTCAAGCCCCACAGTGACATTGGCCACTTCTTGTGCGACCTCACGAGGCGTAGCGTCCGCCAGTTTGTTCGATGTCGAGTTATCAATTTGTTCCATTGCCTCGTCCGTCGGTACAAGATCGCTACCTCCCGCTGGATGATGTTGGAGCGGAGTTGCAGGTTTGTGAGACGACGCCAGAGGAGTATTAGCGGGTTCCGCCGTTCGCCTTTCTGCGTCTCCCATCGGAAGCTCCCCGGGTTCTCTGGGAGGTGAGATCATCGGTTCCTCTACGTCACCGGGTGTTGCAAGGATGTTCGGAAAAGCAAGATTATCGTCGACGGAACTGGCCGAAGTGAGATCTCGAGATACTGCCGACATCTCCGAGGGATCCGTCTCGATGACATGACTAGTTTCGTATTGCGTATGGTCATTTAATGAATGTGGAACCAGGCTGAGGGTCGCGTGGGGCGACTCGGGGGAAACGGAATTCAAGGTTTTCCAAGTCGGTCTGAAAGATTCCGGAACATCAATATTCGTCCTTGCTTTCTTTGACACTTGACCTTCGGGGCTACCACGATCGAAAACCTGGTTTGGAGATGGCGGAGATGGACGTTTTCTCAATGACAAAGATGTCGGCCCTTCATCTGATTCTTCGTTCGTTTTCTCCGCGTTCTTGATTATCTTCGAGACCCGAGGGATAGGAGCCGAGCGAGGTATTGGATTACCCCATGAACCAGGTTCTCCGTCGGATCCTGATTGAGGCTGAGTAGGACTTCGTTTTGTAGGGTCTTGACGAGTGATGGGAAAACCTTGTCGTGCTGAATGAATTAAAGGCGGAGGGATTCCGCTTCGAGCTATTGGGTTACCCCAAGAACCAGGTTTCTTCATTTCGTCTTGCGTTGCGAGTCCTTCGTCCGCGGGTCTTTCGTCTCGCAAAGTTTTATGAACAGGATCGTCATGCACAACGGTTGAGGTATGAGCGAGGGTAGGTGGGACCAGAATAGCAGTTTTCGAACTCCGATGAATTGGATTATCCCACGATCCATCGCTATGATCGACGGGGGCAGGATTTGTAGAGTCCTGAAGAGCTCTTGCTTTCCCTTTTAAACTTAGTGAAGGTTTAGAATTGACGTTGTCGCCTTTTGTAGGACTAGGCATTTCGGATTTTAGAATTTTCGTCGGAACGGCTCGAGGAGTTTCATCGTCAGAAGAAGAACCTATAGAGACTTTCAGTCAGTAGGGAGTAAGGGTGCTCAAATATCAAAATCAAACTTACCGATATCGGTGGGAAGTACTCGTCGTTTTGATATCTTGGGAGTGCGTCCTACAACATCAACAAGTTTCGGAACAGGGGTACAAGGGGGAAAAACGCACTGGTACCACGCGGGGTGACTTCCTCCTTCACTCGAGAACCTCCGGGGACATTCTCATTTGATTCCAAAGATGATCCTATCAATATAAGCGGCATACTCACGAGGTTTTAACTTTTCACCAGAGGAGGAGGAAGCGGAGAAGGGTGAGAGGAAAGAGAAGGGAGAAAATTTCTCACGACCAGCTTTAATTCCAACCCCCTCCCAGAATTTCTCATCCATAGCGGGTAAAGATTCATCGTCTGATACCTTCACGGGTGATACATCTCTGGGTATTTTGACAGAGGGTGTCGGTTCATCGTCCGAGGAATCAAGAGAGATTGGGTTGGCGGAAGTACCTTGTAGATCTGGCCTCGTCAGAACACGGCCATACTCGATGTGCTTCCATGTAATCAAAGATGGCCAAGGCAAGGACAGCTCACTCGATGGTTTTCTACCTTGGAACATGACTTGGAGTAACTATACACCGTGGTGGGATATGGGGTGAGGGACAAGATACACCAAAAGAGACAATAGCAGTAGTGGACTGAGTATTCGTAGGAACCAAACTTCGTTCACGCACGACACTGTCACGTGATCTTGTTAGGCATGCATCTTTTTCTTGTTAGGCGTGCAGACCACGTGACCTGCAGGAACCTCCTTCAACTCTTCTCATACTTTCAACCAACATCAACCAACATCACTTTACATCGTCTGTCTCTCACACCTTCAGGAGACAAGCTACAGGCTCAAAACCCTGCCCGTTGTTCTCAGCGCACATTATTACCCCTTTCTACTACATATCCCATTAGAATTACATTGTGATATCCGCATTTTGGTAGGTACCTCCTTCTACACTTGACCTCCCAGGAAAACTGATGTTTTTAGTCTTTTATCTCTCTTAATATCATGTCTTCCTCCAACCTATCGATCTCTGCGACTCTTCCGGTGATGAGTGGTCATTCCCGCCTCTCCCTCCATCCCTCTCACCACTTATAAAGCAAGAAACCCCGTCTACCCCGTCCGAGATCATTATACCAGAGACTCAGCAAGATAACTCGCCATTTTCCTCCCCCTCTGGTTCCCCAACATCATTACGCGATATACACTCAGTCTCTGCCTCCCCTAGTAGTGCAGACGACTATTTTGCCCCTCCTGCACCCTTAACAGACGACAATGACGAAGAAAACACCAATTTTGAGCCCAATATCGAAGAAGACGAATTTGGCCCCCTGTCACGAGACATACTGACCAGCATATGCACGATATAACAGTGCCCAACGGAACAGTGATCTTAACCACTGCGACGAAAAGGCCTATTAATCGGCGGTTAACACTACCGCCGATCGCTGGTTAAATACCCTTCCCCGACATTCGCTCGACTTGTCACACACTTTGTGACATTATGCACCCTCTTGGGCCCCCGCGTTGGGGCCCCGACAAGGGGACCCCGCTTGGGTCCCCACACTTGGGAAGGGTACGATAGACCGAAAACTTACTCCGAGAGGGAGGTTTTCCAAGTAGGGCCTGGGTTACCCCCGGCGCCGTCCGGGGAGTCGAACCCAGGATCCTACCCGCAACCGCCGATTAATCTGTCACGAGACATACTGACCAGCATATGCACGATATAACAGTGCCCAACGGAACAGTGATCTTAACCACTGCGACGAAAAGGCCTATTAATCGGCGGTTAACACTACCGCCGATCGCTGGTTAAATACCCTTCCCCGACATTCGCTCGACTTGTCACACACTTTGTGACACCCCCATGCCCGTGTCCCCAAACTTGTTCATGCTCCCTTAACCCTTCCCCCACAGATATCTATCAGTCTTGCTCGCAATAAACTCGATGTCATGGTCAAGAACAAGGGGTTCGCCTTGGTAACCGATTCAAGTAACCTAAATCGTCAACACATGACAATGAACTGCGTATTTGGAGGACAATATCGCTCAGGTCGCTCTGCTAAATTCGAGAAGGTACGAACCCGTCAGCCTCAGACACAGCGTTTAGGCTGTCCATTTCGACTAAAGCTCTCAAGAGTTACAGAGAAAGACGCCCTGGCAGATGGATTTCGACCAATACTGCTAGAGACAGTGTGTAATGAACATAACCACCCTCCTGTCAAGAGTTTGCTTATCTCACACCTTCGAAAACACTCGCGAACCCCGCAGATTACTTCCCTTTTACAAGAATACATTGATAAAGGGTTCTCTGTCCACCAGATCATCGATTTACTCAAGGAACACCCTGATAAACCCCTTCTCACCCCGGTAGATGTATCAAATTTCAAGTGGAGGTATGAGAAGAACCGAATGAGTGGAAGATCAGCAACCGAAAGTTTGTTCTTACATCTTGAAAGAGAAAAACGCCTCTTCAAAGGCCTGGTTAATTCGAGAAATGAAGCTCTTGGTCTCATCTACACGACTTATAAAGCAAGAGCTCTGGTTCATCTTTATCCCACCGTCCTCATGATGGACTGCACTTATAATACCAACAGGTATCGTCTTCCAATGCTCCACATCACAGGAATGACAGCAACCAACCTCACCTTTACTGTGGCTATTGCTTTTATCAATCGCGAGACTACAGATTGGTACGGGGTCGCAATCAAGAGTTTTTTGGACTTGATTGGTCCCTTGAAACATCGAATTCAAGTCGTAATAACCGACCGCGAAGTAGCCTTAGCCAACGCTCTTAAGAAACACCTACCAAATGCGAAGCAGCAGTATTGTACCTGGCACCTGCGAGAAAATGTTAAACATCTATGTGATAAGAAGAACTGCTTTGAGGGAGAGGAGAATACGATTTTGGCAAGACAGAGGTTTGGGGACATGTGGATGAGAGAAGTGGTTGAGGCTCAAGACGATTTTAAGATTCAGCAAGGGATGGACAAGATAAAAGAGGAATTTTCGAAGCCTGAACACTCTCCAGCAATTCGGTACCTTGAAAACCTGTTAATTTCGAAGGAGAAGTGGGCCTGGGCCTATACAAACCAAAATCGCAATCTACATCAACATACGACCTCCAGGAATGAGGGAGAACATCGTTCCTTCAAGGATTTCTTGAAGAGTCATACAGGAACGCTCTGGCAAGTGATCCCTCAGGTAGATCGTTTCCTGGACAGACAGTGGGACAGTATCACATTGAAAAATGGTCAGCAAACAGTACGATCAGCCATAGGAGATCGAATACTCAGTGTAATAAACCGAGATGTCTCTAAATTTGCTACGAACTTCCTCCAGGATCAAATTCTCATTGCCAACAAACTTCTACGTCAGCCAGACCGAATACACCATTGCTCAGGACGATTTCTAGCCTCAATGGGTCTCCCCTGTGCTCATATGATCTTGAATGTCATGAGAAATGATGGGGTACTCACTATCAATCAGATACACCACCACTGGCGATTACTCCCTGACGGCGGGTTCGATAAACTTCTTGAAGATACCAATAACAGAGTACAACCCACTGCTCTTCGGGCCATTGGGGTTCATCGACTTGAAGACGAATTCGAGGTAGTTAACGGTTCTCGCGATTTCATACTCGATGTCACGAACTACGTCGTGACACCTCGATTATTCCACCAACAATGACCCTCCTTTGACCATCAAAACCCCTATCACGTCTTAACCCTTTTACTCTACATGTAACTCAGGACATCTGAGACCAAGTACGGCGAAGTTAGACGGAGTTAGGCTAGGTAGGGACAATGGAAGCAGAAGTACGGCGAAGTTAGACGGAGTTAGACTAGGTAGGGACAATGGAAGCAGAAGTACGGCGAAGCTAGACGGAGTTAGACTAGGTAGGGACAATGGGAGCAGAAGTACGGCGAAGTTAGACGGAGTTAGGCTAGGTAGGGACAACGGAAGCAGAAGTGCGGCGATGTTAGGCGGAGTTAGTCGAAGGAGGAAGAGGATGGCCGAGGACTCGGGGAAGTTGGACGAAGTGCGTCGAAGTACGTCAAAGCGCGAGAGGGTTGGATGAACGTCTAGGAGGAATAAACAATATTAGCTGAGAAGATCGCTGAAGTTCTTCAGCGATCCTTGATTGTTGTCAGTAGTGAAAATGTCACGGCCGTCGAGCAACTATCTTCTGGCAGACCGACGGTCGACGAACCTCGGCTAACTTGACGCTCCTGAGTCGATGTCTCACCCAACCGGGAGGGCGCAGACGTCGAAAGGAGTGTAACTACGGCGTACTTCGGTGTAGTTACTCTAACTGGGGTTTTGTTCTACTGATGGCGATGTATCTCGAATTGTATATAGCTATCTCTATCTGTTTTTCACTACTGACAACAATCAAGGATTGCTGAAGAAGTTCAGCGATCTGTAAACTATCTATACTTCCCCTCTCTTCTCGTAGAACGTCCCTCAACCCCTGTACAGCCTCGCGCTCAGTCCCCTTCGTTCAACTTCGCCGTACCTCGCCATATCCCCGGTATCCTACTCCGACTAACTTCGCCTAACTTCCCCTACTGCACTCTCCCTCGGTTTCCTTCCCCTAACTTCGCCGTAGTTCTCCGTTGGTCGGGGTTGTTGTGACTAATAATCCCTAGGTTCTCGTAACTTCGTCGTAGTTGGTCTCAGTGCTTCGGGATGGTGGTGGATAGTGGTTCGGTGATAGTGAAAGGAGGGTCGGTGATGGTGGTTGTCAGGGATGTCACGACATGGTTCGTGACAGAAAAACAGATAGAGATAGCTATATACAATTCGAGATACATCGCCATCAGTAAACAAAACCCCAGTTAGAGTAACTACACCAAAGTACGCCGTAGTTACACTCCTTTCGACGTCTGCGCCCTCCCGGTTGGGTGAGACATCGACTCAGGAGCGTCAAGTTAGCCGAGGTTCGTCGACCGTCGGTCTGCCAGAAGATAGTTGTTCGACGGCCGTGACAGTATCAAGGATCGCTCTTACCGACGACCCGTGCGAACCTCGGAGAAGTACGAAGATTCTATGGAACCAGATAGGAGAGTTACGCGAGGTATGAGTAGGGACGGAGACAGGATGGAGGAGAACGAGAGGAGGGCACTGGAGGAGCTTAGCAGAGCGATGGGGCAGCAGCTTGGAGTGGAGGATAGTGTGGGGGGATCAATTCAAGGAGATGAGTTCGTTCCACCATTGCCTTCTAATCCTCCTACCCCTTCGGGTAATGCTCTCCCACCTATAGGATCCCCAGTTGGATCGGATCAAACCCCGCGGCCAGAAAACACTGGAAGTACGGCGAACTTGGGAGAAGAAGGTACACAAGGGGTGATATTGGCCTTGATGCAGATGGTGGCGAATATGAACAAAGACATGATGGAAGAGAGAAGGCGTAGGGAGGAGTGGGAGCAGAGGAGAGAAAAGGAGACGGTGGGCGGCATTGCAGAAGGGATATCAGAAGGGGTGAGGTACGCCATGGGACGGCAAACTTCGGCGACCCCAAGCGTAGTTGGCGAACAACGGAAGGGGATAAAACTGCCTAATCCGGACTTCTGGAGAGGAGAGAGGAACAAGTTGACCGCA